GCCAATTCAATCCTATTCCATACTTTTGATTCTTTTGTGCTTTGATGCCTTCTAAAATTGAAAAATTCAAGATAAAATTGTCATTTTTTCTTGGCATATGGTTGGAACTTACTAAGATAATTTTTTAACATCAAATGTAAGTTAGAATCTAATGGTTCTATAGATTTCATAATCTATTTTTCTAACAATGTTATCATTGCATCTGTTAGATTATTAAAATTAATTCTTCTTTTTTCAAATGGTTGGCAACATTGTATCTATGCCACTTTAGTTTGAATTCAATATACAGATCCTTTGATAAGATAATTTCTAAGCAAAGCCATAATACTTAGTAATGCTTTTTTTTTTCCTCTCCATAAAAAATAAAGTAGAATATGGTTGAAAATAATACATTATTAATAATTATTCATCTTTATATTACATTTATCATTGTAAAACACAAATGGCTAAGTTTTTTTGTTGTATTTTTTTATAAGAAGGAATCAAAGTCCTTTAAAATTAATGATAGTCCAAATGGTGCTCCTCATAATTTACTTATATCATCTCCATCCATCCATATGATGCCTAGCTCATTAATCCAACTTTGCTTTTTAAGTAAAAATTCACTTTTTTAATGATTACTAGACTTAGTTCAATTTAAAATAAGTTCCAATCCTATATAAAAAAATTTAAGTATATAAATGATTTGTTTCATAATATATTCTTTAATTCTTAAGATTAAAGAAGTGTCATCAACATATTAAGTCATGATTTGTTGTTTTGGCTCATAAGAAGTGGAATACCTTTTAATAGTCTCAACCGAGCTTCATTCTTTACTATTGTATTAAAGATTTTTGTTGCTATAAGAAACAAGTAAGGAGCAAGTAGACAACCTTACCTCACCCTTATTTCAATTCTAAAAGGCTCAAAAAGTGATGCATTAATCTTTATATTTACTTTTGTATTGTTAAATAATAACTTGACCATGCAATTAAATTCTCTTAGTAGTCCAAGTTTTTCTATTGTAAGAAAAAAAATTTCCAATCAACCATGTTATATGCTTTAGAAAAGTTTTTTTTTTTTTTTTTTTTTTTTTTATTTTATTTTAAAATTAGTAGTTGCTTTGATATTTCAGCCTATATCATAGTTTCATGTATCAAAAATAAATTATCGAAGATAAAACAATTAGATAAGAAGGTTGATTGATCCATACCTATAACATTCATTAAAATTAGTTGAAGTTTTATTTGCATCATTTTTGCATATATTTTATATTCAATATTTAAAAGAGTTATAAGTCCCTAATTTGTAAGGTCTTACCTTAATCTACCTTTACATAATAAGGAAGTTAGTTCTTGTATGATATCTAGTAGAAACTTTCCAAAGTAAATGCTTTTTTGAACCATACTTAAAAAATCTAGTTCCATGATATCCCAAAAAATTGTTTAAAAATCAAAATTGATATTATTTGGCCTAGAAGATTTATCCTACTTCATTTCCTTTAGGGTTGCTGAAATTTCTATGATGGATAGAAGGTAGTTTAATTTAGCTTTTTTCTCTAGAATTAATCAATTGTTAATTCGTGCCAAATCCTATTGAGTTGCATCTTGTATCATATTGGATATAGGCTAGGCTCTATATAAAGAGCTGTATATTTGATGGTATATGGATGCCATTACCTCCAATTGATTCTATATCTTTTTGATGCTATTTTTCAACTTATTTACTTAAGTTGCCTCATTTCTTTTTCTATTAGCTTAAAAAAAAGCTTTTAAATATTTATTGATAGCCCACTGCTACTTTAACCCTATATACAATTCTTCTCCAATTACCTTCTTTTTTTCGAGTTGTCACAAAAGATCGGCTTTGCTAGCTAGTTGATCGTGTTGTGTAATATTTCTAAGTTTTTTTTGTAATTCCAAGATAGCTTTAACTAGACAATGTTTTCATCTATCTTCTTCATGTTTTTTTTTTTTGAAATTCTATTGACATAAAAGATTTTATAGAATTCTATATAATATCATAACTTACTAAAAAAGAGAAGCATTAGATGAATAGTCCAAATTTTCTAAATTTGCCTTTGAATCTCTTTGTTATTGAGGTATTGAGAGCTCATTACATACCTCAATCTTTTCTTGTCTTTGAGATATATTTTCATATATTATAGCATTGTAAAATGATTTGAGTGTATGTTATTGCCTATGATAATATAATTTAAGGTTGTTATATTAGTCCTAAGATAGTTAAATAAATGTATACGATTTAATCAAGTAATTATCTTAGATTTATCTTTTTATCTACTATCTCAATTAAATCATAACTTATGTATTGCCAAGAACTTGTTACTTACTTACAACATTGATTTTAATGTGTTAAATATTCACTTTTCTTCTCCATAAATGATTGTCCCATATGAGTATGATTTGTTGCAATTTCACTCTACAAAGTTTTAGCTACTTGGCATTACACACTTGTAGCCTGCAACCAGTATATTCAACATTTTGTATCATAATTCTTTTCTTTCGTGCACAAAATAAGGAGTGTAGTCATTCAAAATTGATGTAAGAAAACTGTCTACATCCTTGAATTAAACCCATTAGCTCCTATCCAATTGAAAATAATTTGATGATTCAATAAGATGTATCAAGTGCAAGATGACCTACATTCCAATCCCTTCTACTTTTTAAGGCTATATTATTTGTCACATGGTTATATGCCATATCAATGTCTTGACCAAAAAATATAATATCATTTCACAATAAATTTTTGAATTGCAATAATTTTGCTCTTCTTAGCTTGTACTCTTGGATACATATAATATTTGTTTTTCATAGATACTTGTGTAAATAATTTTGAACTACCTTGAATTTGCTAAGGTTTTTGATTTCTTAGAGATTCTAAATGAGGACAATGATATTTATGATTTAGTGTAGGAAATAAGAACATTCTAACCTCTATCAAATGCCTCCAATGTTTGCAAGGATATTAGTCAATCTTTTTGTTGCCTCGTGAATTAACAAACCATTGGTGTCTCTAAGACAACAAGTAGTGATTATACATTAATATTGACTTGCTCAAAAATCAATTCAACTTATTATTATTTGATGTTTTAGTAGCAAGCTCTTGATCTTGTAACCATTTATTGAACAAAAGAGTCAAATAATTTGATAAATCATTACTTTCTTTTCTAAATTCTCTTATACACAATCTACGTGACTAAAATGTGCCATTAGACCTAACTTCAATGTTTTTTTGTTGATAGATTCTTAGCATATTTACATTGATGTACTCCCTAATGTGATGTTGTCCTATAAAAATAAACCACAATTATGTCTTTTGTTCAAATTAATTCTGGATGTTTGGCTTTGAATCTAAAAAGAGCTATTGCTACTTTGCATGGTTGTGCTTTTGCTAAAATTGTAACGTTGTTATATCCTCAAATTACTTCTAAGCTTAGTTCTTCTTATATCTATTCTATTTAGATCAAGATCATTTGTGCATCCAATAGTTTGGCTTTATTTGTTGCTGCATCAAAGGTGTATTTCCATTATCACTTCCTTTTTGGTTATCAATTATGTCATTATTATTGTCTCCTATTTCCTTTCTTTTACTAGATTTAATGGTTTCTAATACTTCAACCTTCATTGTTTTATCAACAGTCTATTTCTCATGGAGAGTAGATAAATACTTTGTTGATTGCGATCCTTGTATAGTGTTGCATTTCTAATCAAAATATTTGTTATGTAGTTTATTGAATTCATTGATATCTATTAATTTGCTTATATTAAGAAAAGACTTCCATCTATCATTTTGTTCATGTATCCTCTACATCATCTATTCAAGGCTCTTCTAATGTAGATTAAGGATATTAATCCTATTATTTGCTCTTTTATAATGGTTGTTTTATATTTTCTTTAAGGTCTGAGTTCCATTCTTTGTTGAACTACCTTAGGTTACAACATGTCATGGAGATATACATTTATTCCAATAGTTACTTATATGATTAAATAGAAGTAGGTAAATATAAATTAATTTCATAAAGTCTTCTTGAAAAGCTTCCTAAAAGCTTGATAGATGCGATTTTGACTTTAGATGTGTTTATAGATTAGAAACTTGGCCAACAAGTTAACCATGTATTGATAGCTTATAAAACAAGTTAACTCTGTGTAGCAGCTTGTGAAACAAGCTAACTATGTGGTGTATACATAAATAACTTGCTTTGCAAGTTAAGACATGTGGCTAGCAAAGTCAACACATGTTGGAGGTCCTATAGAATATCACCATATAACTCCTAATTAAAGAGTATATATGGAGGCAAAAGTGAAGCCTTCTTCATTCTTGTCAATGCCTTTCTAGTCCTTAGTCTTATTTCAAGCCTTTCTAATCTTCTTATTTTTGGCAATAGCCATTCTAGTTCAATATTATATCATCTTTTAGTGACTTTCTAGTTCTTTTCAGTGATAGAAGAGTGTGTTGAGGATTTTCTTGCTTTAAGATTCATATTCTTGACACAACGATGTCAATTATCAAAGTCTTTGATGGAGGTATAATTACCTTCTTCACAATTGGCACAAAAGGAGTTATTGACAACCCTCACTACCATGAGGGGACCTTTCTATCATGTAGAGCGTGTAAGACAGGTTAGGAGCAGGTAAAACCTTCTGCTCACACCCATTCAATTGAGCGCACAATTACTAAGGGCACAACATGTTTACTACAACTACTCTCCGGGTTTCTTCGCGCAGTGCGGCCAGTCCCTCCGGAGCTTCCTCGTCCATTTCCCGGCACAGTTCCTCTTTTCACTTGCGCAGTGTTTCTCAAATGCCTCTGCCTCTACCCGTGGATTTCGTACGTCTAGGTCAGTCGTGTTTGTATCTCCCTCTGAAGATGATGATGATGATTGCAGAGCTGCAACGCAATTCGCGCGCGGGTGGGTTCCTTTAATGACGCATCATTGGGGGGGAGAGCCAGATTGTGGGGGGGGGGGGGGCAACACTAAATAGGCTCTCTCATAAGGGCTGTGGGGTGTGTGTGGGTGTGGGGTGTGGAGAGAGATGATGGCGATACGCGTGGCTGCAAGAGCGTTGCTTCGTGCACCCTCGTGCCTACTTTACGTCGGAGGAGGAGCTGACGTGTGGGGCAACTACTCAATCTGACACTCGAATCGCGTGACAGCAGACTGCGTTCTCTCGCCTGGAACGGCGTGCCATCAACCCCTGACCTGAAGTAGGAACCGAGCGGGGGAGCAGTGTACCGCAATACCTAATTGGATTGGTGGGTGGGTACCGTGTATAGTGAGTGAGTGGTGACGCCACTGGCCTCGTGTGCCTTGGCCGGAGCTTGCCACGAAGCGTTTGATTGTGTGAGTTAGATTGGTGGTGGGTTCTGGTTATGGTTTGTTCCGGTGGGTTTTAGCTGGTAGTGTAGTTGTGGATTGTGCCGTAATGGAGGGGACTGGTGTAATTGGGAAGACGGCGGTTGGGATTGGAGCCTGGACACTGTGGGGGACAGATGTGGGTGTCCGAGCTGTTGGGGAGATGGTGGAAGAATTTAGCACCGCGGCTTTGCATACGCGAGTGGTCATTTTGGCGGGCTGCTTTGTAGGGTTTACGCTGGCGCTCTCCTCGTACCTGCTCTTCCAGCATTTGTCGACTTATAATGGACCTTCAGTGAGTTGAATTTCGGGGCTAGCTTGCTCATTCTTGATTTGCGTATGGGCTACAGTTGGCTGGGGCAGAATTTTAGGTGAATTTTAGGTAAGAGGGTGGATTTTAATTTTGCGTTGATGGAATTTAAACGTTTTTAGGTTTTCTTTATCGTGATGTGAAAGGGGTGCAGTAGAAGCTGGAGGGCATGTTGAGATCAGGATTTGAATTCATGCAACGATCGCAATCCACGAATTGGTGCTGATGGCTGATGTCCTCTGTTTGGCAGGAACAAAGATGGCTGATTGGAATCATCTTCATGGTTCCGGTCTATTCGGTCGCTTCGGTAAATTCCACTTAATCCGTATTTGCTCAGAATGGATTATTTTCGTGTTCAGTATAAATATTGTACGATTTGCTAAAAATTTTCCCGTTTAAATCTATGGCTTGGAGTTTTAGTCGGTACTTAATCACTAAAATGCGTGTTTGCCGGAATGAACTGATTCGTACCAAACAAATCTTTTTAGGTCAAGTGATACCTTTTCAAATTCCTGAAATATGGTTGAGGGGAATTGAGTTCTGACTTGTTGTGGATAGACTGCAGTTTGTATCTCTATCCTGGCCGGACATTTCGATAGAGTGCAACATATTGGGGAGTTGCTACGAAGCATTTGCTATGTACTCATTTAGTCGATACCTAATCGCTTGCCTAGGTATGTTGCATTTGATGATTCAAAGGAATGGCCATTGTACGAGTTTGCAAATGGATATGCTAGTGCATGCAAGGATAGGACATTGACAAGGGTTTTATTTTATTTCACTTGATGTTGTTCTTTGCATTTTTCTTCTTCTTCTTTTGCTAATGATCAAGCTTTGTTGATTATTTTTTGAGAATTGAGCTGTCGGAAACAGGAGCTCATGCACTGTAATGGTAAATTGATTACGCAGGAGAAGGGGAGGCAGCTATTCTGAAACTAGAAAAACTAGAGTCGATCGGCCCTCACCAACCTCTATTGGGCCACCCTTCTGACCATCACCTAGCTTACCACCCTGTCCCTTTCAACTGGTTTCTCGAGCCTTGGCAGCTGGGGCGCCAATTTTTCGATGCAGTAAAGTTTGGAATTGTGCAATATGTAAGTACGTTCTCCGATCTAAACTTGCATAGTTTGAATTTGTAGTTCTCTCCAGCTTGTGCTTTTTTTTTGTTCCATTTCCGGAGAAGTGACAAAACACGGTAATGCAATACCTACCCCTAGTGACTTAGTTACAGCGGATTCAGTTTGGCGTGCTTTTATTGATGGGTATCTTTGTGGTCATGGTCGTTTCAGATGATATTGAAAACGACTTGCGTTTGGTTGTCACTATTTTTGGAACAATTTGATTTATACGGGAAAGATGAATTTGACTGGGACAAAGGGTGAGTTTTTCGTATCAATTTTTTTCGTTTTTGTTTCTTGCACGTTAGGGCCAGATGCCTGTTGTGAGCTGAGATTGAATTACTACCGTGACATGCAGGTACCCATACATAACTTTCGTGCTGAACTTCAGTCAGGTGTGGGCTCTGTACTGCCTTGTACAGTTTTACCATGCAACCAAGGAAGAGCTTCGATCAATAAACCCACTAGCCAAGTTTCTCACTTTCAAGGCAGTTGTCTTCGTCACCTGGTGGCAGGGCGTGATAATTGCATTCATATTCTCATCTGGGTTGGCCTTCAGATGGTTTTCGAAGAAGGCTATCTTTCGTGGACATGTTCAAAGCGGACTTCAGGATCTCCTCATTTGTATGGAGGTATGTGTTTTTTTCCTCCACTCGTTCTCCTTCGTTGCGGGCTGGTTTTTTAAGCTTTAGGGGCTTTTTGCTTCGCGGTTGACACCACTAATGCGCGTTGGGATTATATTTGCAGATGGCAATTGCAGCATTGGTTCATGTATTTGTATACCCAGCTACACCGTATGTACAAGAGTTCAACATCATGGGAATTGTTGCTAAAACAATGGTGGAAGAAGATCTGGAAGGAACGGTTGCACGTGTCAAGGAGAGCTTTCATGACGTGGTCTTTGGAGGCGGCGAACATGTATTATTTTTTCACTTTGAACTTTTTGAGACATGCATTTGATGGGAATGTTAACGAACCGAATTTGCGCACTTTGGTTTTGCTTGTGATATTTGCATCACTTATGGCAGGTCGTTCAAGACGTGAAAATCACCATGTCGCAAGCAGTGGAGCCTTTGGAGACCGGCATCACAAAAATCAACGAAACCTTCCAAGAGACAATAGAAACATGGGCTGGCGGCCACATAGAGACGACGACCAAGGAGGATACATACGCTGTCATGGACGGTGAGTCAGGCACAAGCGGCACTGAATTTGTAAAAGAAACCAAGATAGTAGAAATTCTAGACAGTGAACATCAAGAGGGTGAACCTGCTAAATCTCACACAACCAACACAACGGAAGTGTCCTACATTCCTGAATCAGACCCTACCTCGTCGGCTAGTTCTGCTATTTCCCCGCATGAAGTCAAAGTGCCGGTGAAAACCACCTTTTGTAGTTTAAAGCATGAGTCATAAGTTACGTGACCCAGACAGAGTGCACAATCCTGGTCACGGATCCATCTTGGGAACTTGAAGCTGTAGAGGATTGAATTGTAAGCTGGTAAAGGGTCTTCAAAAAAACATCCTCGAAAGGATCATATGGAGCGTGCATCAAGTTGAGGTGGTGGCATAGATCTGTAACTCCACCTCTTACGACTGTTTCTCTTTGCACAATATGATTCGTGTGAACGTTTCATGAACTCCAAGCGAGTTCTGCAAACGGTGCTCTTCATCATTTTGCCTGTACTAGTAACCTGTGAAGAGCTTTCCACTTCCTCAATGTGGCTTCTCAGGAAAAGCAAGAGCATCTTCAAAGGTCTTTCCTGTACATTCTTTAGTTCTCATTCAGTTGTGCCTTTTGCAACTCTATAGCAACTTCTGTGCCTTCTACAACTTTGTAGCAACTCTTGTAACAGAAATAGTTTTGAAAACTTGAACATTTTTCTATTCCAGTATCTCTAGTTTTGTTGTCGTGAAAAAAAAAATTGTAATTCAACTTAATCTCTGTTCCTTTTTTAATGAAATTTCTCCATGCAAAGATGGAGAGGATTAGAATGACTTGGACAAGGTTGATTTGACTTGTGAGTATCTAAAGCATGGAGAGGATTAGAATGACTTAGACAAGGTTGAATTTGAGTTGCAAGCAACCTTTAATTGATATGTGAGCTGGATTCTAAATGTGTATTTTCAAAATAAAATATAAATTAAAATGGATTATAGAAGAGCACATTGAAGAACAAACACTATGAAGTCATAACACTAAGCATCAATAAAATTGCATGCAAAGAAAGTATGGAGTAAGATATCTCACACTTCTAATACTTGTTACTTATAGGTATTGGTTGTTGCCTTCATGAATAACTTCTAGCCTTTGATGAATACATCCATCTAACATTCTATCAAGAATGTTTTCTATTAAAAAAATATACTTTAAGCATATTTTTTATATCCTTAAGATTCTTTGTTCATTCATCTACCTTATTTCTTGGCCTTCTTTCATACCAAGAGCCAATTCTTTGATTAATAGCAACTTACCTAAACTAATATCATCTACAATGTAACTTTTATTGATTTACTTTAACAATTTTAATACTTTCACTTTTCTATTATTCAAAGGCTTTTAATCCTAATGCCTTTATCATTATGAGAAGACTATTATTTATTAATGTCTTTATCAATAAATCAACAAGCATGTCTTTCGTTGCATAATATTTCATATCAATCACTCTCATTTCAATCTTCTCTCTTATGAAGTGATATTGAATGTCAATGTATTTGATTCTTGAATGATGCTTTGAATTCTTTACAAATGCAAGACATCCTTGATTGTTACATTCCATTGGAGTTCCTTCTATTTGTACAATTTCCATATCCTCCAAAAGTTATTTTAGCTATATTGCCTTCATTGCACCATGACTTGCTGCCATATACTTTGCCTCCATTATTGACCTTGTAATTATTGGTAATCTCTTGTAATTCCATGAAATAGCTTCTACTCTAAGAAAGAACACATATCTCATTGTTGACCTTCTATCATTTGCATCTCTAGTCCAATCTGCATTATAATAACCATGCAAATTAATATTATCACCTTCAAGGCACAATTTGAAATACAAAGTGCCTTTGAAGTACCTCATGATCCTTTTGATGGTTGCCCAATGGATTAATCCAGCCTTTGACATGTCTTGGCTTACAACACTCATTGCATATGCAAGATCCACCCTTGTGCCAATCATTGCATACATAAGTGAGCCCACTGCTGCCTTGTATAGAACACCTTGCATTTGACCTTCGACTTCAATAAACTCTTCATCTATGAATTTCATCAATTCAAAAGTGTACCTATATGCTTACACTCTTCCATGTTGAATCGTTTTAGGACTTCTTCAATGTACTTCCTTTGGCTCATTACAATGGTCTTCTTAGCACGATCTCTCATAAACTCCACCCTTAAATAATAAAGAAGTTCTCCTAAATCACTCATCTTATACTCTTTTTCTAACTTTACCTTCAATTAATCTATCATCTTCATAGTATTAGTTAAAATAATCATATCATCAACATAAAAGATGACAATCAAGATGAACTCACTTCATTGCATAACATATAAGGAATGATCAAATTCACTCCTTTCAAATCCTTCATTTACAAAGAATGTATCAATATATTATTACCATACCTTTGGAGATTCTTTGAGCCCATAGAAGACTTTTTTTAAACTTGCAAATAAGATGTCATTTGTCTTCTTTTACAAATCCTTAAGGTTGCTCCATACAAATATTTTTTTTTAGAATTTCATTCAAAAATACCGTTTTTACATCTATTTGATGCATCTCCAAGTCCATTTGTTGTCCTAATTACAACAATGGTTGTAATGGTGGCGAATTTGGCCATGTGAGCAAATGACTCATTGAAATCTACACCACCAACTTATGAATAGCTTTTGGCAACCAAACTAGACTTGTATCTCATAACATTATCTATTGTATCTCTTTTGATTCTAAATATCCACTTACAACCAATTGAAGATTAATTTGGTGGAAGTTGAGTCAATTTTCATGTTCCATTATCTATGAGTGATTTGTATTCTTCTTCTATGACATTCTCCTACTTCATAGCATCCATCAACTTTGTTGCATTACAAAAACTCAATGAATCAACAAGGAGTGCAACATTGGCATATTTTTCACTTACTTGAGGAAAGATGTGATTCTTCTACCATGCACCGAGTTATTTTCTATCTCTCAAAAGATATCTCCTTTCACTTGATGAAGCTTCAACTTCTTTTATTCTAAGGTTTCTTGTAAGCTTCTTCTCTCTTAAAACTTGCTTCTTCATATTCAAAGTTTGATACTCTTCATGATCATCATATTATCATCTTCAACATCTTTATTTTCTTTATTACTATTTTTAGTAATTTTAGGCATATTATGGCCTACCTTCTTTGGCTCTTCATTTTGATTTGAATTTCTACCATCATCAATGTCATCATCTTTTTCTTCTTCTTTTGCTAAAGTTAAAGATGTATCCACAAATACACCATTACTCTTAATTGAACACATCTCCAAGTGCTCATAAGCATTCTTATGCTCCAAAAACTCTACATCTCAATTCTTGATGACCTTCTTGGTTTTTAAATACATAAGCCTATATGCCTTGGTACCTTCACAATATTCAACAAATATAAATTTTGTACCTTTTGTATCACGTTTGGACCTCATACAATCTAGTTTTTTTGGATAGACAATGCATCTAAAAATCATCATATGTGAAACACAAGGTTTTTTGCCACTCTAAAGTTCTTGTAGAGTCATTAATGTGAGTGCACTTGTTTAGCACCTATTTCTTGTATATACTGCATTTACCATTGCTTCTATCCAATATTCATGTCCAAGATTTTGGGTATGAAGCATACTCCTTACCATCTCCACAATGGTATGATTTGTTCTTTTACCAACTCCATTTTGTTATAGAGTGTAAGAAGTAGAAAATTGTGGTATAACACCTTGAATTTTCAAAAATTTATCAAAATGTTTTGACAAATACTCACTTCCATTATCCATGTGCAACATTTTCGACTTGCATTCACATTATTTCTCTATAAGAGCCTTAAACTCCTTAAATCTTAAAAAACATTCACTCTTGGCTTTAATAATATAAATCCACATTTTTTTTAAAAAATTATCAATAAATGTGACAAAGTACCTTTTTCATTCAATTGATGGTATCTTCATTAGTCCAAAAACATCAAAATGCACAATCTCCAACAATTTGGTAATACATGTTGTAACTTATCTTTGAAATGAAGCGCTTTATTGTTTGCCTCGTATATATCCTTCACAAGCAAGTGTCAAGGCATTATGGCTAAATTTACCAAGATCCAAGCCACTTACCATGGATTAGAGCTCCTTCATGCTTCTCGTATTCAAATGACTAAGTCATTAATGTCAAATTTTAAATTTATCTTGATCTTGTGAAAAATCAACAAATATTGTCACTTCTACTAGATTCACCTTTTTACAATTGATAAAGTAGAAGTTGCCAACTTTGAAGCCTTCAGCAACATGTTGTCTACCCAATGTCTTCACAAAATATTTATTCTTAATAAATTGAACCTTGCAACCATGTGATACAAGTTTGCTCACCAAAAGGAGGTTCTTCTTTATCTTTCGCATATGTAAGACCTCTTTGAACCTGATTCTATTGATTTGGTTCTTCACAATTATTTCTATAACAATGGATCCAATTCCAATGGCTTGTACCATACCATTGTCTCCCAACCAAACTTTGGTTACTGAAATTTCTTCATAAGTGTCAAATAAAGATTTATATGGTGTCAAATACTTAATGCACCTGAATCTATAATCTACTTAGATATAGTAGCCATGGAGGCTTCTTCAATTGCCATGAAAGCATAGTTATCTCCATCAAAGTTATCACAAGTATTGTTTGCATTCTTTCTATCTCTTTTCTTAACTTTGTAGCAATTCGTAACAAAGAGACTTAATTTTCTACAAATATAGCAATTTTTCATGTTGTTTTTAGAATTATCATGTTGGTGAGAATAGCTACCTTTACCTTGTTTAAAAAATAGAGCTAAATCATCCCTTTGAAGCTCCTTTTCTTTCTTCTTTGTTATTTCATGAGCAAGCCTTGATGTGATATAATTCATGATAAGTTCCTTCATATTGATAGATTCCAATGCCATAATGAGGTAATTTTAAGACTTAAGAAGGCTCATGAGCAATGTCAACATAATGTCTTTATGATCACTTGGCTTGTCAATAATTGCTAGTTGGTTTGCAATTGCTTTTACTCTATTGATATGAGCCATGAGATCATCTTCTTCTTCCATCTTTAATGTTAAGAACTTCATCCTTGTCTAGAGAATATTGGTAAGGTTTCTACTCTCATAGATGTTGCAAAGAGTCTTTTATGCTTCCACTGATCCATTATAAAGAATTACATGTGAAAAGTTGGCAACATCCAAATTTAATGTAATCATCCCAAAAGCCTTCCTTTCACGACGTTTATACTCCTTCTTCACTTTGACATCAACATCATTACTTGGAGGTTCTTCTTTTTTATCTATAATATTCCATAGATCCAATGAAGCCAACAAAAACTCTATTTGCTTCCTCCAATGGTAGAAGTTGTCACCTCTAAATTTTTCAATCACTCTCAAATCTTCACCCTCACTTAAAGCCATGTATAAAAAAGGGGTATATTAAAAAAAATCAAGAAAATAGAAAAAAAAAAAATCTCAAAATCAACAAGAAGATGTTACTCTCTTAGAAACCCAGAATACCCTCCTTGTGAATAAAAAAGTGATTTCACTCTTAAATTACTTTCAACTTCACTTCTAAGACTTTTCACGAATCTTATATTCTAACTTAACCTCTTAAATAAGCATTGCTATACCACAATCATCCTTTTTCTCTCATATAATACTTCAAACTTCACAAAATATTTCTTATCACTATAAGATGATCTCAAGAGAAGTTTATCACATAAAACCACAATATTAGATCACAAATGATGTAAATCAGTAAAGAAATACAATACTAATGTTTTAAAACATCACTCAAAGGTATTTAATAACCTCCAAGATTATCAATGCACTTAACAATAAGTAAAAGCAAAGTTATATCAACAACTAGATGCAACAATGAAGTTACATAATACCAAATTCTAACATCAGCAACAACCAAAAGATCTACTCCTCATAATAAGTAAGACTTCAAAGAACTTCAAAACTCACAACTAAAGATAAATGGGCCCATAACCTATTGAAGAACAAGGACTATGAAGTCACAACACTTAGCATCAGCAAAATTGCACGCAAAGATAGTATGGAGTAAGATATCTTTCACTTCCAACACCCATTACTTATAGGCGATAGTTGCTACCCTAGTGAATAATTTCTAGCCTTTGATAAATACATCCATCAAACATTCTACCAAGACTATCTATTGCTATCTCATCTATTAAAAGAATATATTTTAAGCATATTCTTTATATCCTTAAGATCCTTTGTTCGTTTATCTATCTTATTTCTTAGCCTTTTTACATACCAAAAGCCAATCCTTTGATTAATAGGGACTAACCTAAACTAATATTCTCTACAATGTAACTTTTAGTTATTTATTTTAACAACTTTAATAGAGTATTAATTTTTAAATAGCTTTTAATAGTTAAAGTGATTATATTTATCATTGTTTGAGATCTAAAACAGTAACCTCAAAGAATTGCAAGCTTCATAGATATTATTTTAAATACATTACATAAATTAAGTAGCATTTGTAAATATTAGTTTATCTTTTAGATGATAATTTATTTTTACAACTACATAAATCAATAGAATATTTATATATGTATTATTTTTATTAGATTTTATATATTTTTATAATTTATAGATAATTGATATTGTATTTTTTATGTAATAAATAGATGTCATATATGTATGTATAGACTTTTCTTTGTAACCAATTTTTTCTAACAAAATCTTTTATCTTAGCGACAATAATTATATTTCTTGAATATATATTTTGATAAAATTATTAAAAAATAATAATTATATAAAAAAAACGTAATATACTTGTTATGTCTTTTAAGAACTTTAAAAATAATAGGGCTACATATTAAAGTAAAATACAAACATAAATTAAAATATTCTTGCTGAGACAATTGGTATCTATGTATCCACTCAACAATCTTTTTACTACTACATTTTTTAAGTGCTTGAATGCTTTTCTTTGTAATTTTAATTCTTTAAGAGTTCTTTGTAACAAGTATTCTTAATCACATTATAATTTTTAAATACTATAATTCTTCTGTTAATAATGTTTGGCATTGGCTTTTCACTTCTTTTGAATTCCTCTTGAGGTTGTAGTGCACCATATGTTGATCTAGAAGGCAAACTTGAAATTCTTAGACATTTCAACTTTTATTTATTAAGTTTTGATTAATGATTTAATAACACACTTCATATAGTAAAATATAAAAAATATCCAAATACTTACAAAATTTATTAGAATCTTTCATAATATTACTTTTTAATACGATGTATAGAAAATGCCTTTTTATTTTGGAAATCTTGTAATTATATTTTTAGAAATATTTTATAGCAATTATTATTAATTATACTTCAACTTTTGTATAGTAGTCACATGATGGAAAAAAGAATAATTATATAAAACTATCTACTTAGTATGTAGTGCCATTTCTTTGACTTATATAATTGTACTATTAATATTTTGTGGTAGTAAGAATAATTATTGTTCTTTTTGCAATTTTTTTTTAAATCTTCAATTTTTTTTAATATTCTTTATTAATCATGCATAAAGCATCTAAATAGAGATATCTAGAAAGATACTAAACCATGAGATTCATGACCATATTACAAAGTTAAAATTAGATGTAATAGTATAGAATTATTTCCTAAAATCATTATATTGAAGCTAGTTGAATTCCTTGATTCACACCCTGATATAAAACTATCAAGCAATAGAGATGAAACAATAAAATCAAATTGACTTTATTGTTGACATTTATTTTAAAATATATATAAATATATATATAATACTTAGCTTAATATGTACATGTTCTATTAGGTATGCAATAAAGATATTTATTTTTTGTTTGAAAGCTCTACTAACCATATGCATATGATCCAAAATCTTTTAACTTTCCAATAATTCTACTATGATTTTTAGCTATTCTGTTTTAAAAGTCAAGTCAACAATAAAATCAAATTGACTTTTGTAAACACAAATTTATTTTAACATTCTTTCTATGTATTCCTTTCTCTTTCTATTCTTCATTGTCAGCCATCCTAATTTTAGCTTGTTCATATTATATTTAAATACTCTCCTATACTTTCTAATAAAAAAATCAAATAAAGTTTTTTTTTAAAAATTACACATTATATATTTTATTGATTCTTCTATTTTAAATCTTTAAATGGATAAGGAATGATATTATTTTCCTATAAATGCAATATTTCTTTTGGAAATAATAACAACATATTAATCATCTTTAGAGGCTCTATACCATTATTTGTTTTTTCTATCGAATTTTTAGAGGACAGTTTTAAAAACTGCTACACCTCAGCTTCCACATAAATAAATCATTGTGCACAATAATCAATCCACCCATTTTTTTCATTTTTAAATTCCGTATAAAAGTATCACCTCTACATTGGAAATAACTTTCTTTTAGGACCGATTCAATCGATTTTAAAAAGAATTTTCTTTGAAATACAACGAACAAAACACAAGCTTATCTTTGTAAAGCAAAAAATTCTCCTTGTGATGGTTAAAAGTCCCTTGCACACAAAATGTGTAGACATTTCACCATATTAAAATTGTGGTGTGTTTCAAAGAACCTTTCATTTAACATGATTTTATCAAGCTTTATACTTTTTCTTTTCATTTTATATATAAAAATATATACATTTATTTTATTTATATTTTTTTGTTATTACCTTTACAAATATAACATTCATTTTGTATTAGAATCATTGAACTTGTTCTCCAACCCATTAGTTTTCTTTTTTCTTATAAGGTCTGCATCAAATCCTTTAAAGAAGAGCAAAAATAAAATCAACTTTTTCCCCTTCAAATAAAATAAAGTGAAAGTTGGTTGGACTAATCCCCAAATCCTCCATGTCTGAAAAAGTACATCAGCAACTTTCTAGCCCCCTTTCATCCATCCCCAGTGGACTGTAAGTGCGTGTGGTACCTACCAACCTACCCACCTACCAACAGACGTGCCAACTTGCCAGCGTGGCTACCTACCAGCCTGCTTGCCCAGTACCGACCGACCACCCTACAGGCTGCTGCCGGTGTCGGTGAGAGGTGCTGAAGAAGAGCCCACACGAGACTGAAATTTTGGTTGTAGCGAAGGATCGGAGCTCGCATCTCTCTCCTTCACACTGACGATCAATCACGAGGCGTATCGATCGAAGCAGAGACGCCCAGCTTCCTCACGAACTAGAGCGAGAGACTAGAGCGAGAGATCTGCCGAGTGTGTTAATGCACCATATGAAGCGAGAACAGAGCGAAGCCAAAAATAATCTCTGTAGTCGTTGTTAGGGTTCAAGGTGAGATCGAGATTGTTGCGCTATGTAGGGAGGGGCTTGGCTGCGATGATGAGTTGCTGCGTTAGAATGTCACATTGCCAGTGATTCCACCAGTCTCTGCGTTTTTGGAGGGTGGGTCGTGTGGGCGAAAAAATGGCTTTGAGAGGTTGAGTCGTTCCGTCATGAGAATGTGTGTTGTTGCTACAACCGGAAAGACGACGGTTCAAAGTCGTCTGGCCCGTTGTCCATTACCCATGTTCTCAAGCTTCGCTTTGCAGCCGCGCTGCTGAACGACACCACGTCGTACATGCTGCAGACATTCGCCACAACAGCCTCATTCAGTAGCCATTTCGGGCCGTTGAAAATGGCGTTCTCGAGGGTATCAGCTGCGTCCTCCAGCTGCCGGTTGTACAGCAGACACAGCGCCTGCAGCCATGACCACAGGGATAGATTGTTATTGCACGCGCACAAGCAATGGTACCCCTAACCCTAAACTGCACACAGCAAGTCGACCTTTTCAAGATGGGAGATGGAAGTAAACCTTATTGTTGGCAGACACGATATCGTCCGGGTTTCTCGACAAGACGATGTCGAATTCTTCAATAGCCTTTAGAAACTCACCCAGAGCCACATATAATACTCCCCTATTTCGACCTAACAAGTTCGTCAAATCAGGGGATCCTGGAGAAGACGATACCAATGCCTCGACGGCGGCGAATGTCTTCTGTGCTCCAAGGACGTCACCTAATTGGAGCTGTATCAGAGCGGCCTTGGTTTGCAAGTAAGGATCTGTCGGCGACTTGGCCATGAGATTATTCAACCATTGTAGCGCCACTACGAACTGCTGCTGATGCAAGTGATGACCCACTATAGAGAAGCACACGACCTCCCTTCGCTCCTGCCATGTCGCCATTACTCGCCCTAAGATTTCATTCTCGGAAGCAGCCGAAGAGTACCCATTTCGCTCATCGCCATTGGAACTGCCGTTGCTCTCAAGCGCTTGTGGGGAATTGGGTGGTCTAGTGTCTCGAGAATATTCAACTTGCAGAGCGTCTATCTGGCCAGAACCAACGTTGACCGCTTTGATAAGTTCACTGTGAAGGCTGTAAGTGAACGTAAACTTAACGTTGATCAAGACCAAGAAATTAGGTCAAATTTCAACTGTGATGAAGAGCGAGATCAACCTGAGCGTCACAGTGATTGAGAAGCTTGTATAGACGATGCAGAGTTTCTTCAGTCTTTCCCATTCGGTGGGGAAGCTCGGCGTGCATACACCGTAATGACCATGGCACCATTGACCCTGATCGCACAGGCCACAACAATCTCAATGAGAAGCAAATGAATTTTTGCAAGCCTCATCCTGAGACATCTCCAGTTTCTGAAACTATGTTACCATTTACAAAAAAAAGAAAAGAGCCAGGCGCGGTCACACCTATTCGCTTGCAACTCACCTGATTTTTCAGGATACAACTCTGGGTGGTTCTCGAATCTGTACTGTGGAGAGTTCAAATCACCAAAGGCTGCAATTTCATGTGCCGCGGCGCGGTACTCCTGAAGCTTCATCAGAGCCAGAAGGTGGTAAGTCCCGTACGCAATCTCTTGGTCCGGCGTTGAAAGTAATCCTTGTCTTTGAGCTTCCTTCACTCGTTCGATAATTCTCTTCCAAGATCCCTGTCTCTGCCAAATCCCACTATGTCTCCAATTCAGCCATTCGGCAGACACCATCTTTGAGATTCCGAGCGATCAAATAGCATGCTTGAAAAAGTCAGCCCAGGACAATGTTGGCAAGGAACCTCAGACGATTTTTTTAGTGCAGAAATGCGTACCGCTAGCTCTCTAAGCTTTCGAATGTCAACAGACACCTGCTTGAACGAACACCTAGAGAATGAAAGATGCCGAATAGGCGCAGCTTTCGACGCTGGAGAAGATTTATCACCATGGCCATTGCTCAAACGATATTCGACTGACACGGGCTGCTTCACAGGAGCTCCAGAATTTCCAGCTTCCCCGGTTCGCACCTCTTTCCACGTACTTGGCGTCGAAGAATAATGTAGGGATTGTCCATTAATCGGGGGGTCGACTAAAATAACCTTTTTTACGGGTGCTCCAGGATTTGCGCCATTTCCTCCACTCCAGAGTCCCGATCTCCAAGGACTTGGAGTCGATGAACCATCTAGCGTAAAATTGATGTTTCCAGGATAGGTATGTGACTTCGAGTGCGAGATTAGAACCCGCGGTGTAGAGTCTCTGCCATCTGCAATCACACCTTTCCTGTCACCCGATGAGAAGCTGTCGGAGCGCAGCTTCGACGGGGTGGTGGGGGGTCGTTTCGTCTGAGAGGAATAGGGCGAGGGTGGAGGGAGCTGTGTAGCTGGAGTCCGCGGAGATGGAGTGCTCGAGAGCGGTATTCTAAATGAAGACACGCCAGTGTACTCTATCCCCGAATCGATAATCGATATAAATTCTTCCTCTGACATGATGATCCGACAATATTCGCAACTACCGGTACTCCTGACAAGTGATGCAGCGCACGCAACCGATACATCAGTTGGATTTATTAAGAAATCTCATCCCATATTTTTCCAGTTGGAAGAAGCCTCTCTTGCTGCTCGTGAATTCCAACGATTGGAGTCTACCGCGAAAATCGGTTCATTCTCCTCAATTTTATCTTAAGAGATCAACACTTCATCAAAAGGGTCGATCTTCAGTGTCGCCTGATGCAGCTTAACTCCCACAACTTGAGAATGAGAGGGCTTCTAATCTACCCCTAGATCTGTGTTTTGTGTTCAGCTACAATCCTTTGGTGAGTTCCTTTAATCCCTGTGAAAAGAATTGAACTTCTGATTTAACTTAGCCTCGAGTAGCGCTGGAGAGCGATACTGAAATAACTTCTGATCGTGGCAAGGATTTAATTATGGGCTGCTTGACATAGAAGCTTAAGTTATTACAAAAATCCAAATACTGCGAAGAAGAAGAAAGAGAACACCAAGAGAAGCAAGGAAAAGAGAAGTCATGCGAAGAGCCAGCCAGATCGAGCCCTACTGAACAGCAGCGACAAATGCAAGACACCGAAGTCCAATTTTAGAAGGAAAACATACCTAGAAAATCATCAAACCCCATTGAGGAATCACGTAGATCAAACCAGACACGGCTGCCGATGAAAACCAATCCTCATACAGGAGTAACGCACTACCGCCCCACTTGCGACGTCACCCCGGTTGATGGCAGAAGTCGAATCCATCCAACTCCTCTTCCCTCACAATCCACGGGGTTCGTCTCAAACCTCAGCAGCCAGACACTCGAGCCTCCGCTCTGAACTAGTAAAACCTCAACCACTCCCATCACCGGCACCAGCACCCGCACAAAGATTTGCAAAACGAGCACCTCAATGCACCAGATTCGTCTTAAACCTCGACAGAACCGAAGAAGACCAGATCCCACCCATCTCTCCCGAAAAGACGCTCATGCCTCACAGTACTGTCCCACTAAGTTAGCCACCTAGCTCGATCGTCTGGCTTAGCGAGAGAGTCTCCCCAGGCACCCAGCACAATTGTATCACACATCTACTTCAGGGCACCGATTTTCCAGAAAATAGAATAGAACGGAAGAAAAAGAAAAAAAAAAAAAAAAGCCAAGACCAAAACCCCGAATCATTCCAAAAGAAGGCGGGCGGTCGCGACGTTGTCCTGTACAACCTGTTGGCAAATTCCAGTGCAGTGAGCACCACCCCGACGCACAGATAGTGAAAGCGATGGAGAGAGAGCGAGAGAGATGCTACAGTTAGATTAGCAAAGATGGCCAGATGGTGGAAACCCAATATTAGTCGGCCTCAATGCGCCGCCTCCGCATCAGACGCCTGCGACAGCTTCATGCTCTCTTGTTCTCTGGCGTGATGAATTTCTAATCGGAGAAAGCAAGCAAGCAGCATCCTCTCTCGCCTCGCCTCTCTCACCATATGATCAGATCCTAGATTCCCCATCTACAATACCTTCCCCCGCACCCAATTACTCCGCTACTACTTTTTACTGGCGTCTCGATTCATCAATCGCCCACCTCACATGCAACACAGTTGGGTGTGTCCCCTGTTGGTCCGTCCCTGGCAATGATACCTCCTCGTATTCTTGGCGCTTCCATGGCTTTGCTTTGCGTTTTGTGCCCCGTTGCGGCAAAGGACCGTCCATTGACTGGCTACATGTCCGACTCCGAAGCTATTTATACTGCGAAGCAGTCGCGGAGGCGCATTCCGCCCCGGAACAGGCCCCTTCCTTCCTTCTCTACCATTCTACCGATACCCGGAATATCCTGGTTCTCATCTCTCGGTTGATGCCTGTTCGGGAATTCCTCTTTTAGGGTACCATTGATACCCTGTTCCGGGTTTTGGATGACTACGTGCTCCACGATGCTCTTTGATTTAGCAAGTCGATCTTAAATCGATTGGCAACAAATGTTTGTTTCTTCATGCAATATGTGTATATGTTTTACTATTAATTATGCCATAAAATGATGTTGTAGTTGTATTCATTTAGGGAAATGTTAAATAGACACATGCTTTTACTAAATAGACTTGCTTTTAGTGAAGAATATGGTAATCATGATGAATGTGGTTGGTTTTTATTGGTTGTAGATCTAATAGTAGAGAAATGAATCTAGATTGTTTTTGTTTTTATTTTTATTTTTTTCATAATGGTTTGGATAGATCAGTCAATTTAATAAAAACTTGGGTTTATGTGACTTTCTCCTCTATTTATTGTGTTCTTTTTCAATTGCAAATACATCAAATAATTTTTAATGATTTTAGTATTTTTCTACTAATAAATTGACAAACAGTAAAGACACAAGACATAAAAAAATAATTAATCAAGTTATAACTTCATTTAAAAAATAAATAAATAAATAAATAAATAATTCTCAACAAATAGTTACAAATGCACTAAATATATTCACACTTATCATATTTGGGACTAGGCAACTTCTCTAAGTTGCCAAGCTAGCTCTAGTCCAAAACATTTTAGAACTTTCAAAGATATTCACATAGAAACAAAGACTTTTTGAAGTTGAAAACTTATTCCATATTAAATAATATGAATATGATTTGATTCCTTCTAAAAAAAAGTTTGTTTATGCAATGTGTAGACTCGACCTCACATATATATTCTTGAAAAAGAGAAGTAAAAAATAAATATATATATATATATATATATACATAAGAATAATTGATAGGGAGGAGATCTCATCAAGTACAGGAAAAGTACTAAAAAAGAAAATTATAACAAAAAAGAAGAGATGAAAGCATGATAGCCAAAAATATGATTAAAGTACAAATTTAATATGCAAATTTTGTTGTGGTAGGTTAAATAAAGTTCTTCTTTTTGCCCATATCTCTAAGAGTAAAATATATAACTTTATTCATTTTCATTTTCTTTTATTAATCCAAATGATCACATAAATTTCCTCATATTGTTGAAAGCATTAAATGTAGTCAGTATTGTCCATACTATTTACTGTAGTCTACAATACTTATTGTAACTACAGTGTTTAGAATATAGTGGGAAGACATTGTTTATCTTCTCCCCTTTTCTTTGTATAAATGATATATCCTATCAATAAACTTACTTCTTGTTTGTGTGTTTACATGTGTGTGCATATTACTTCTACCTATTATTGTCTCTCTTTTTCTAAAACATTTTCAATACATTATCAGCACAATTGCTTTTATACTTTATTCTTAATTCTTAGTTCTTAAAAACTTATGTGCATTTTTTTTTCTTTCGTTTTCTCTTAAATTTTTTTTCCTTCTTGTATTGTTGTTGATGTTGCTATTATGCTGCTACTACTGTTGTTATCATGTATCACTATTGCTGCTGCAACCACTAATTGCCATTGATTGCCACTAGCTACCGTCAATTGCCATCAACTAATGCACCCAACTGTTAACTATCACTAACTAACACACAATACTACTGACTGTCGTTGAACTACCGTACCTTGTTGCTGAACTACTATGCCTTGATACACCTTGCTGCAGTCGATCGCAAATCCTTATTTTTGTGGAAAAAAAAATCCTAAATTTCTTTTTAACATTTTTGATTTCAAGTTTCAACTCTGTCATTTTATTTTGCTTTATATTCTAAGGTATATTTTATTTAACTTTTTTTACTTGAATTGGTATTTTTTTTGTTTACAATTTTATTTATAATGAGTGGTTCAACATCCTCAATTGACTCTATTATGTTTCCAAGTATCACCACTACATCTCAATATTTTCAAGCTCTTCTATTTCTACCATTTGATATTGATGGAAACAATTATCTATTATAGGCCAAAATGGCAAAAGCAAATTTATTTACAGAATAACTATCCGATGCAATTTGTTTGAAGAATATCCTACTATAAGTACTTCAATTCCTATTACTATTCATTAGAAAGCACTTCTTCTCCTTCATTGACATCTTGTACCTATATTACAACATCAGTATTTAGAAATAGAAGATCCAACCAAGCTTTGGAAGAATCTTAAATCTTCATTTGATCATGAAAAGACCATTTTCCTTCCATGTGCACATCATGATTGGACACATTTACATGTCTTGGATTTTCCAAATTTAAATGCTTTCAATAATAAAATATATGGTATTGTCTTATAACTATAATTGTGTCGACAAAGTATATCTGAAGAAGTAATGATTGAAAAAACTCTCTCTACATTTCTTCTTGCATCAATTAATCCTGTACAACAATATAGAAATATGAAATTTCATAGTCATCCTAATCTCATGTCCTATCTACTTCTAGAGAAATAAAACGAGCTACTCTTACATAATGTAGAAGTTCATCCTATTGGAACCACCATTCCAGAATCTTATGCACTAAATATTCCAAAGTCTAAGAAATAATTATACAAACATGGAAAAAATACTCATAAGTATCATGTTAGTCATGGTCGTGACCATTTCCATCCACATGGAAAGAATAAATATTCTACAATTAATTATAGCAAAAAATAAAAATTAGAGATTCATTCTTGCCATAAATATGGAATAAATGGACATTTGGCACATGTATGCCATACTTCAAAATACTTTATTAAAACATTCTAAGAAAATAAGAAACTTCCAACTGAGGCTTGTGAAGTTCATATTATAGATACGTCCATGGATTCAATTGGTATTGATGATTTAGAGGCTTATGTGAATGACAAAATCTCTAGTGATGAATGAAATGATGCACTCATTGATTCTACAACAAGACATACTATCTTGCAGTGTCGTATTATGTGTTGTCTTGTTTAGGAATGTACCGGGCACTTAGCTGTGAAAGGTGAGGTTATATTTCATAAGTATTTAAGAAACGCTAATAGATTTCATCCATACGAGAAGAATATAATCAAAATTTCAATTCAAAAGTGCTAAAAAATACTCTTTTTAGTAGCCTTAACTATACATAAATCCCAATTATCTTGTTATTTTTATATTTATGTAATTTAGATTTTTCTTATAAGCTCTAATCCTAATCAATGAGCTTTAACAAGCTGTAACATCCAATCTCAGCATCCACTTGATGTAAAATTTTGCATACAATTGTCAATGTAAGTCTTCTATATGCTTAAGAATTTTTAGCCTAATCCAATTTACAGATTGTGAGAAAACCTCCAAAAATTGCACTGATGTCACTTGGCCGCCAACTTGTAAAGTAAAGCAAAAATCTAAGTAGTGGTTTCTCCTTCTTTAACCGTTAACTTTGACTCAAAATTAGTGTGCAGTTTGATCTTTAGGTCCTTCAAAACCATGCCAAATTTCACCTTGATCCAGCTAATAGATCTCTAGATATCATAGAAACCCTATCCAATTCCAAATTGCCAACTTCCAAAGCCCTCTTGTGCTAAAAACCAGATATCTCTAAACCACATCGTTACATTATTATAAAATTTTGTATACACTTAATACACCTAATATCCAAATAGTATCAAATTTTGAATGGTAGATGCTACACCAATTGTCCGAACTAGCCAAAATTGCTAGCCTTAATTATATTTTATAAAATCCAAATCACCAATACAAATCCTAACTTTGAACAACAATTCTTAAGTCTTCAAAAACCTTTCAAAAAAATCATTATGCCTCTAGAAATAACTTCAAGCTAGCTCACAAGCAATGAACTACCTTCAACCTACTAACTATTAAGATAAGAAAATAACCTAAGAGGCTTTTATAAAAGCCATATTTAGATATCTCAAATTATAATTGAACTAAGATAATTAGATATTAATTAGAAATTCAAATTTGATTATAATTTTACTATATAATCATATTACATCACCACAATAGGATAGATGGTTTTTTATTGAAAAATCTTCAACTTGGCAAACTAAAAATTTGATGACTATTGATGGAATAAATGCATTTCATTTCTAAGAGTGAATAGCAATGGTAAAATTGCTTGCGAGCTCTATCATAAAATATAAACATAGAATGTTTGCACCCTCAGCACTTCAAGGTTTGATCAGCTACTAAGATGTATGATCAACTACCGAGATATATGTGCTAATGGTTATCACCTCTCAACTGCAATTTTAGATAAGCAAGAGGTTTTAGTTTTTGAACAGAATCATAAAGTTGTAGAAAAAGCCTTTGCTGCGACAAATGGTTCATATTAGATTATAATCCAGCCTTCTATTATATTTAATTTTACATCATCTATAACAAAAAATTACGTTTTTCTTTGGCATGGACAATTAGAATATCTAGAATCTACATTATTTTAGAAGATAATTTCATATATAATTGGGCATAATTTAAGACCTATAGATACAGATTCTATGAAATTATGTCATGCATGTGTGCAAGGCAAGATGATTACTCGGCCTTTAATTTAAAAACTTTGACAAGAACTACCACCAATGCTTGAAAGGTTGCATGGTGATATTTGTGGTCCTATTAATCCAATATTTGGACCATTTTGTTATTTTTTGGTCCTTATTGATGAATCAGGCAAACAATCACACGTTTTATTATTATCATCTTGAAACATGGTATTTTCTAATTTTATATCTATATTTATTTATTTTTTAGCACATTTTCTTGATTATCCTATCAAAACATTACATATGAATAATGCAAAAGAATTTGCATCAAATTCCTTTGATAACTATTGTACTATAACATGGATTGAATTGACATATTATGTTCCATAT